AAATTAATGCGCGCGCTGATGTCATCCATAAAAATTACTTGCTGTGGCCTTACTGGATCTTTGCGAGTTTTGAGTTCTAATGATTTATGAGTATTTCATTGCGTTTCAGTGAGTGTTGCATGCTATACTAATTACTATGGTGAAAATAAGCATTTTTTGTATGGAATATCTGTAACTGTTAACCGTATGTCAACTATTGTTCAGACATTGTTCTGTGAGGCTGTTACTACCAACTTGTCCTTGCCAAATAGATAAAACACTATTATATACAAGATAAATTCCCCAGTTTTAGGCAAATTAAGCCTTTAGATAGATCGAAAAAAGGAGATTTATGAAACTACACAAGCCAAGCATCATAAACTCCGTATGTTCATACATCGACAATAAGTTCAACCTATACATAGTAGTTCACATCATGTCAGTATAGTTTTAGTAAAAAATATCACTGTACTTTTTTTTTACTTCTGATTTTTTCATAACCTGTACTTGAGCTTGTAAGAGCATAAAGGTACAATATAGGTCTTTCGTTATTCTGTAATAATTAGTATTATTATCATTATCATTTGTATTATTATTATTTGTAATGTTTGTATTATTATTATTTAAAGCCAAGTCAAAACATTATTATCATTTGTATTATTTGTGTGCTTATTATTTGTGTCATTTATATGATTATTATTTGCATTTTTTGTATACTTATCATTTGTATCATTTATATGATTAATATTTGCATTATTTGTATGCTTATTATTTGTATCATTTATATGATTATTATTTGCATTATTTGTATACTTATCATATGTATCGTTTCTGTGATTATTTTTATTATTTGCATGGTTATTATCATAATTTATTATTTGTGTGGTTGTTATCTCTGTCCTTTGTTGTGAAGCGAGAAAGGACATGCCTAGCCTCTACCAGGCTTCGGGAGGCGGCTGAAAAGAGTAGAAATCGGTCAAAAATAAGAGAGGTAACATGCTAGCCTCTACCAGGCACCGCGGATCGCTGGAAAAATATGGTGTGGGTCGCAAATTGGAGCTTCTATGGCCCTGGATCTTCTCTGGTATACTATCCCTTTATTTCGGCCAATTTCTACTATTTTTCCAGCGATCCGCGGTGGCTGGTAGAGGCTAGTAACATGCCGGGGTACTGTTTGCCGCAAACTGTACTCTCTGCCGGACCAACCCCCTGGGTTGTGTGGCGTAGCGGCAGAGTGCGCGACTCGGAACTGAGAGTCCCGGGTTCGAGTCCTGACATGCCACCGATCTTGTGCCCTTGGGAAAGGCACTTTACACGGCTTTCCTCACTTAGCTCAGGTGTAAATGAGTATTGTCCTGTCATGTATTTGTCCCCTGTGTTGGTGGTGGCATTAATAAAAGTTGAAAAAACTTGAGTGTGCTGCCGATTACATGTTGGAATAAAAAAAACTCCCTGGCATGATATCTCTCTTATTTGGCCGATTTCTACTCTTTCCAGCCGCCTCCCGAAGCCTGGTAGAGGCTAGTATATTTGAGAGAACGAGGGGTGATAATCTGGTCAGTGGAGATGAGTGATAATGTAAATGAGACGTGACGTGATGAGATCTAGTCCAGACGTGTGACATCACGCCCCCCTCCCTCCCCCGGGGCCACCTTCTCTTGTGTTTATGGCTTTCCGCATTAACTTCCTAATCATGGCCCACCCTGCAACCGGCGGGCGTGATTCTTTCTCATGACAAATAGCGGGAATTCCCAGGGTAACAGGTCATCGACGGTACAACCAGATATTCTACATATATGGCTGATGATTCACCCCATTATTCAAACTCTCAGAATGTTCTGAAAGCGGTTCAAAGGCATACAATGCAATTTCAGGGCGGCAAAATTAATTTTAAAAAAATGTTCTGAATGAGGAAATCTGTCTGATATTGACATTAACTACCATTTCTTAAAGCACATTTTCGTCACCATTTCAAATTTAAAGCGTTTGAAACAGCCCCAAAACACGAGGCCCCTCTTCTTTTTTGTTACGTGTACCGTCAATAAATAGCTAGAACTGACCTACGATAAAAAAAAAATAAATAAAAAAACCGTTTCCGTCAGCGACATCACATTTTTCCGTCAGCAACATCCCGGGTTTGCCTCACAGATACTAGTCTGTTATGGGATAGGGTTGATCCAACTTGCTACATTAAAAGAATGACCAGAAAATCGAAAATCCAGTTTTTGCCGCCTTGAAATTGCATTGGAAGCCTTTAAACACAGGTGAAAGCTAGCCTCCTTCGCAGTCTTGTTGGGCGACGGCGTTATTTTTTCTCTGAGCGACGCGAGTAATATGCGGCCGCGAGGGGCGATTTGCTGCCCAGGGAGTTTTTGCCACGGAGAGAAGGTTTGTTGGAGCGCGAAACCTCCTCTCCGTGGCAAAAACTCCCTCGGCAGCAAATCGTCCCTCGTGGCCGCATATTACTCGCGACGCTCAGAGAAAAAATAACGCCGACGCCCAACAAGACTGCGAAGGAGGCTAGGTGAAAGCTGATATGCCCTGAAAACCTCGCCAGAGGCGGGTATATAGGTGTAAATACGATGTTTCTGACCTCGATACAGGTTGATAATTAAAGTTTTCCACCTCAATTATTGAATCCAAATTTCCATTGGAATCTACCCATACCCTCCGGACATCCCAACAAAAATGTAGCCTCGTTTAGCAGGCTCTACGGGTAGGGCCTTTTGTGTCTTAAAATGTCCCTTTTTTTCTGGTTGTATAATTATTTAGTTTCGAATGTACCTGTTTTCTTGACTACGGTTGTGGCTTATGAGAAATCGGGTACAAGCAGATACACTACAACCAGAAAAAAAAAAAAAGAAAACAAAATAAAAAAAGCCTGCTGAGAGGCTACTAAAAAACGGCGACCACGCCTTTATACATGCATAAATGCGCCCCCAATGCACACAGCACAGCCTTCCATTTACTGATTATTGTCCCCCTATTAGATACGGAATTAGATTGGCCGGCAAGTTCAGATGCAATGTTTTCCCCCAAGGCTAGCGTGCAGTGACAAGATCAGACTAGGGGAAAAAACCCACGTCATGTGGGCCGTGGCGTCTGAGTGGGGTCTAATCAAACTAATGCACTTCTCCCGCGCTAGAAGCCTGTGCGTATTATTATTACCTTGTAAATTCTCAGAGAAAAAACGTCAATCATCTCAAGGGCGAGAGATACAAGAGACTTAGTCTCTACCAGACTACGCTGGCTATATATACTAATATAATATAATATAGGAGAATATTTGCCAGGGGAGTTTGGCCACCTTGTAGGTTTGACTGGCCGCGAGAAAAAGAAAGAAACTACCTCCCCCCGGTTAATTTTACTCTCTTTTTTGCCGAATTCTACGATCCGTATTCCCGTAGAAAGGCCTGGTGGAGGCTATAAGTGCTCGCAGACATCTTTACCCACGCCACGCGATGCGTACATTGTGTAGTGGTGAACACGGGGACGGTCCCCTGGTGAACTATTGACTATGAAAAGAGAACGGCTTTCTGTCATCTGTCACGAGCCGACTCATCTTCCGTACGTCGCGTAAAGAACGCACGACAGTAGTCGGCGTCAGTCCACGGCGTAATCAGGCCTCAGAGACTATGACTTTGGCGTTATATATAACGTAAACACGCGCCACTGTTCACAGAAAAAATATATGTCTGAGCCCGTAGATTTCAGCGGGTCAGTGTTTTGTGGATAATGGGCGCTCTCAGTGGCATGCAGGCCCCGTCCCTCCCCCTTCCTACAAAGAAAAGCTGTCGCCTTGAAGCTTCCTGAATGTGGGTCAGCGAGGTCACCTTTGTCAGTGTCACAAAAACGTGCCTGATGGAAAAATGTCGCCCCACTAAACATTCCAGGGTCAAGATTAGGAGAGTTTAATGGAAAAGAAACTGTACCAGCATCATCTATTAAATGTGCATCAGTTTGCAACGGTTCTAGAAATAGGTTAATAGCGCCGAAGTTCGAAATACTCGCCTCAACTATGGAATCGTTTTCTTATAGGATTAAGGAATCGAAATGCTACGGTACTACCCCTAGGCTAAACGCTAAACTGTCTGTTGAGTCCAAACCGTTAGGGTCTACACGGAATGCATATTTTTGTCAGCTCCGATTGTGTAACAAATGCAACATCCGCGACGATCCCCCCATCCCATCTCACAAACAGGGTATTCTCGGTCAAACCCGGAGCAAACAGTCCGAACAATGGAAAAGTCAAACCACAAATACGCTCCCTGTGATACTAAAAAGCGCGCCGTCTGCGGGCATTTGTGTTTTCTACACAGACTTTCTAGTTCCGAATTATTCAACCTGTAAAACTAGTTAGTCTACTGGCAAACTTACAACAACGCTAACATATTTTAAAAGCCACGATGACAGTCGGAGAGTAGTGTATGGTCAAGCACGCCTTTTCTCTGTTTTTTTGGACATTAGTATTCTGTTCGCGCTATCCTCTATTGAACGCTGACACAATCTTCTCTGTTTTGCTGTGTATATGTGGAGCTCTTTTGGAAATGCTATCTCTACGGGCGCTTGTCCGAGAATCAGCCCACTGTAAAAGGGATAAATCCCGCATTTCCGTTAAGCTGTTGTCGGGGGCGTCTGTCAGATGTTCCATACGTCAACCTGTCTGTATAAATGCGTGTTGAGGTGTTGGAGGTTTTATCACAAATACTGTTGGATTCGTAATTTCCCGTCGGAGTGGACGATAAGCTGCAAGACTCTGCCATCAGATCGTTTGCAGCAGTTTCAATTTGCGGGGAGCGGACTCAGGTGGTGCGAGCGAGCGAGCCTGGCACGCGGGCGTCGTCTGCAACATACACCGACAGACACCGGAAACCCACGCGCGAGGTACGCGGGGACGCCGCGACCGTCACACCGCACCGGGAACAAAAGAACGCCGTGCTTCCGCGCCGAACGCGCAAACTTCGCAGACAACCCACTCTCCCTAAAGACAAACACTGAAAAATCTCAGAAAACACACTCACCTGGTAGCATGCATACCAAAAACGCGTACGCGGAGCACAGAAACGCACAGCACACTCTTGCAGTCGCCATTTTGACCCACCGACTACTAATTTATGAATAGTGCAAATTGGCAATGACGTCACCCTGAGGTCGTTTTTTTTTCTTCTTCCTTATTCAAGAAATGCTGATTTGCGTAATTTTGCATACGGGACAATGGGAAGACAACAAGATGAAAAGTTGAATAGCTGACGCCTGACGGGGCATAGTAGTGGGTGGGGGCTGAATCGTTCCACAATCTGTGCATAGAAAAAGGGCGGGAGTTTTTGTGAACTCACTGAACTGCGCAACCACTGACTTGGCACGGGTCGCGTGATACAGTATGAGATAGCGGGACGTGTACGTGTTTATTTTATATTGATCTGTATTTATCAAAGTTCGCGTGAACTGGCAGTTCGTTTGTAGAGATATACGGGACCACCATGCAGCGAAACCGAGCTTGTCTGTCTGTCCACGCCTTGAATGATTTGATGTGCGACAACACAAAAGAAGTGCAACAGGATCTCTGCTACTCTCCAAGCAGAGGTTGTGGGGGAATGATCGCTACCTTTTTATATATATAGCCGTTTTTTTTTCTCGCTACCCCCACCAACCGTCGGTGGCCGGCGACCCTCTCTGGCTAATGGATACTGCCTGGCCAATTTGATACTGTCTTTTGGCTACCGAAAGGGATCTGCTTGGAGATTAGATCTCGCTACTGGACTTACGCAGGGTGTGTGTTCAGTGCTACCGTGCAGTACAATTTCTGCAAGTGGTCAATTTGTGGTGGCATGAGCCTAGCTTTACACTGGACACGCTTCTAATCCAATCCACGATGTGAAGTGACTCAGAGGAGTGTATACAAGTTTCCCATGAAATGAGAGAACCTCGGGAGTGTGTTTGCATTGTAAAGTCGGGCCGGCTTACGTTGTATGCAACTGAGCTACGCGTTGAATATTCTGGTGAGTGGTTTCTTATCCTCGCTGCTTGACAATAAATCCGTCGGAAAAATACGTCGTTTAGAAACAAATCCTACATTAAAACCCTCTCACTGATCCCGTATCCTTAATTCACGACGACCTGAGTTTTCGATTTCGCCTATTCTCAGTGAAAACTGATCCTCGAAAAAAAACAGTAACAATGCCGGATATTACAATTGTTGTTTGGGCGACAGACCCATAAAAGAAGGTGCTACGAACGCACAGAATGCCACTATTCGTATTAAAATGACCACAATGGCTTCTGTTCATTTTCCTTCCAACGGTTGTGCACGGTGAGAACAATACCTTTGTTGGCTGTACTTGTATGGTTTCTCTCACATTTTAAGTGGATTATAAATAACACAGACCGGTACAATTTAGACGAGGCCGTTGAAAAGACGCCTAGTAGAAGACAGAGACCACTTATTTGAATACCGCTGGTTTCCGGTACCTTTTTTTGGGAGACAATGCGGTGAAACTGTAGAGTTTAGCCCGAGGGAAAAATCAGCGCCCAGTCCTTCAAGGACGCCTAAGAACTATCGGTGTGTTTACGGATTCCACAGCGGTGCCGTGTGTGTGTAGGAAGCTGTTTGTGTCCGTGGCTGTGTTCTGAAGGGGAACTGAGTGAGTTTATCCTGTGTTATGCAGCCAAAGAGACCCAAAGGTCGTAACGCTTCAGGAAACTAAAACATGGTTGCACACCTCTCCCGTCGTCCTTTGCGACGGCATCGCTAGGATATCTCCAAGCAGATACAGAGAAGGAAAGATTGTGCCTGATTTTTTTAATCACAGTTTTAGAGGGCTTTCTAACAGTCGGAAAAGATTATGATCCCCGAGGACACTTTTTAGACGAGATGCATTTCAGGTTAACATTTTTACAGTATCTTTTTCCTAACAGTTGATCCAATTTTTCAATCGATTTTCTTATACAAATTAAAGTTTAGAATTCATAAAATTACTTATAATATCTAGACTCGTTGCAATAAGGTACAATTTCTATCTGCTATCATAGTTTTGTAATGGATTCAATAAGCCATTATGTCACATATATGAACATGTATGGTGTTTGGATGTGCCACAGGTTACTCTCCAAGCAGAGGTTGGTGGGGGAAGATCGTCACCGTTTTATATATGCCTCGTTTTTTTTTTGTCGCCCCCCACAAAAAAAAAAACGAGGCATATATAAAACGGTGACGATCTTCCCCTACCAACCTCTGCTTGGAGAGTACCACAGGTCAGGACTGGACCTTGGCAAATAATTTTTTGTTTGTTTGTCTTAGTCACTGCTGTCTACTGTCCAAGTTGCTCATTGCAGTCCAAACTGACCGATTGTGTCTCTGGTCTAGGTGGTCACTATGGACAGAATTCTTCATGCTTGTGTCATTGGGAAAATTATCTAAGGCCACAGCAAGTAAATTTTATGGATGACATCCTCCGCAGACTGCAAATCTAATGCGTGTGGGCGAAAAAAAACAAGGCGGGTCGAAAAAAACAAGGTTCCTACAATTTAAAATTTTGACTCAATCATTGTACAAATGGTTTTGATTCAGTGGGAACATCGCGTATACACAGCCAGCATCACATATCACTGCATCAAAGTAAGAAACAAAACATTAAATCAGAGCCTTTTCTTGTTTCCTCTCTTCAAAGTTATCTGCCATCCACCTTCCTGCATGGCAACAGACATCTTTGCGCATTTTCGGCATGTTGACCACTGTCAGAAGGCAACAAAATTTCTTGTTTTTTTTTTCCAAAATCAGGCAAAAATTAATGCGCGCGCTGATGTCATCCATAAAAATTACTTGCTGTGGCCTAATGGACAACCTATAATGGTCACATTGGCCAGGTGGTCCTTATGTAGAGGTGGTCAATTGTACTGGTTTTAAGGTATATCACAATAAACGAACGCCATATGATATTTTTGCTTCGTTGAGAAGAGTAGATCTGAAGAAAGAAGTTGAGTACTTTGTATAATGAATGAATGAATGAATGAAGATCTTTATTGTACGCAAATACCCACTGGGTTCAGTACAGGTCACAGGAAAGACATCACAGTTTGCAATGAATATATACAATGTACATGCTAGTGCTAATTCTATGTACAACGGACATGTAGTCTAATATAATTACGATAACTTAGCTTCTTCTCGCTTCATAGTAACGATGTAGATATAAGCACAGATGTGTTTTATAATCGAAGGTTTGTCTAAAGCCATTAGAAATATGAACTTATCTGTGTTGCTAAGATGTATGAAATGGGGAAACATACATTGCAATAGTTTATAAAGCTCAGCTCTCTCTTCGTTATATAAACTACATTCTAATACAAAGTGTTCCTCATTCTCTATAGCCCTAGTGAAAGCAGGACTTAAGCGCGTTTAGCGTTCCCTGGTGAGTTATCTACAACAATAGACCGTGACAATACCTCATGTAAAAGATTATAATCTATGGTACGCCGGCTGAATAATTTATTTGTGAAAATAATGCTCCTGGGGTCATCTTACGCGAAGCATGAAAGAGTTTTTTTTTTTTTTACATTGATGTGATGTATGTTGTTGAGTTGTGGTTAGAATTAAATTTTTACTCGTACTTGTGTTAATGGTTTATGTATTATATAAAGATATATTTTTCTCAGTTTGGTATAAATAAACAGCTGGTTACAAGCTTGATAAAAGACAACTTTGTGGTCATACAAAATGTAGTTAGTTAGAATGATTCTTTCCCATGGCATACTGATATCTGTGAGACACTGACGGAAAAAAAGGTTCCTAGTTTCGTAACGTAGGCTGGTTCTTGATGTTTATGGGTGGTACCCAAAAATAAAGGGACTCCTCACGTAGCTTATTGGGGGGGGGGGGGTTCAAGCACTTCAAGTACGAAATGATGACGAAAATGTGCTAAAAATGGCAGTAATTGTCAATATCAGACAGATTTTCTCATCCAGAATAGACCACACTTCAAAGAAGCCACGTGACAAGCTTCACAGTGGGTCAGTCTACTGAGGAAGACCAGAGTGACTGGTCGAAAGCTCTAGGTGAGAGAATTTTTTGTGTTGGACCAAACGTTTTAACTTTAAACTTGTAACTACCAACACAGATGAACTTTCATGACAGAATAGTTTTTGTTTTGTCGGCCTAAAATTGCATCTGGTGCCTTTAACGGCAGATGGACAGGACAGTCTCCCTCAGGGGAATGCACCAGGTGCTGTCCTATCTCTGTCAGACTCGCTCAGCAGATGAGGACAGCCATCCGTCATTTACATATAGTTCATTTTGGCCGTGTCTATACGGAATCACCCAAGGCGGTTTACATGTGGTTTACCCCGAAGCCGGTTTCAAGTGGCTCCATGTGAACGCTCCGAAATCACATTGAAAGCGCCTCGAGCCCAAGCCACTTCTAGAGGTGGTTTCGAATCGGTTTCCCCGCATCGCGATTTGCGTCTGAACGCAATGTGATTTCAATGTGACTTCGCCTGGTCATGGATTACGGGGTGATATTTCTTTATTTATATGCAATACCAACTTTTACGTGGCAGCAACTTAAAGAGCAGTAATGGTCAAATAATGTGTCCGTTCTAGGACGAGCTTCACCGCCTCTGCCGGGACCACGTCGGCATTCGGCCGAGAAACACTGGGAGGGGGGCATCAGCAAGCAGATCGTTGACCTCTGACATTAATAACACGCCGCCTTGCGTGTTATCATCAAACAGCAATAAATGTAGCTCAAGCGCATTATGTTCGGACACGGTTTCACAGGTGTGTGTGGCACGTGGACCAGATGTGAGGAATGACCAGATGTGAGTTACCCGAATCGCGGTTTGGGTGATTCCGTATAGACACGGCCTTTGTGATGACTTAGGCCATTTTGATTCGATTATATGGACGCCATCCTATAGTAACCCCAAAACTGATGCGAGCGTTCGAATAAAAAAAGTTTGGCAAAAATATGTTCATTCATTATCAAATCTACGTGGTCATGAAGGTTGAACAAGTGACTACTAGTATACACACAGAGTATAGAGTATGGTATGTCGAGTAATAGACTCTTCATTTTCGTTTTTCCTCACATTTTCTTCGTTGCCTTTGGAATTGATTTTGGCATTATGCGACATTGGTATCG